TATTGTGTTGAAATTGTTTCTCTTCAAATTTATAGGATGTTTTTTCTCTCCATGGCCAAATAACTCGATATCTGCTATTTCCTTTATTTTGAAAGTTTTTCAAGGTTTTCTCATTTTCTGTCAATTGAGATTGGTCTTTAGTTCCAATTATCGCATCTTATGACGACAACTTCAGGGGTAGACATTTTACTATTTGACGAATGAGGGCAATATTCTTTACTAAATTTGTTTCTGTTTGCAATCTGTAAGACGTCGCGCACAGAATTGAGGCTTATTTTGTAACGTCAAAATATCTATTTCTGACGTTATTACGTGCGTCGTCTAAGCGTAAAAACGTTAAAAATTAAAGGCGTAACAAATAGGACTAGACATCAATTTTTTGCTCTCGTTTTCTAAAAAATGTTCAACTTTTTACTATTTCTTTTGAAATTAAATTTTATTCATATGCACATTTTAAAAATAAGATTTTATTTGTAATAAGTTTTTCCATTAAAAAAGAATATAGCTCAAATTAATGATATACGTCCCGTAATATACGAAAATACGCATATTTGTTTCGTAGTAACAAAACCGACTAGACATCAAATTCACTCTATCAATCTCTCCTCTCATTTGCTTATAATTTTTTAAAGAAATATTTGACTACTTCTTGATTTGCACATTTCATTTATACTTTAGTTTTACCAAAAGAACCTGTTCTTTAATAAAAAAAAATTACCAAACATTCAATTTTTTCTTGTTACTTGTCAAGATTACGGCATGTTACGGACTGCTTCCAATTTTACGAATAGTCGAAATTAGCCAGTTTGGGAAATTTATTAATGAATTTTGTGGGATATCATCACTGGACATTATAGATGCTTCATACAAATTAACAGAAAAATACATCCAGCCAAAACGATAAAATGACTCAAAATACTAACGCCTGTCGTTTACAGTGTTACAAGTTACGCAATTTAGAACCTCAATACCATGCGCGACGCCTAACTTATGTAAATTATCTCTGGAAGCCTCAGAAATTTCTTGTATTCTTTCAGTAATAATCCATCCTACTTTTGATGAAAATAAGTGTAGATCCTGGTTAACTTCATTTTTTTCTGATAATATTATACATGCATCTATAGGTAATAATCATTTCCAATAACGATGTCTACAGTTGAATTTTCTGGAGTTTTGATGGAGTATCAGCAAATCGTAAATATTTCCATTGTTCTGCCTTTTCAGTGATGTTAGGTGGTAACGGTCTTCTTTGTATTGACCTAGCTATTTGAGCACGACATTTGCGTCAATTATCATGCAGTGTCCATCCTTTAGTTTCATTCTTAAAGAGACTTTCGGTGTTTTCACTATCCGTGGCTTCTTTTCTCCAAATGTGTTAAGTGATATTTCTTCCCTTTTTTTCTCTGCAAACTTAATCTCAAAACTAATTCTTCTACAACATATGTTCTCTGGGATCCGAGTCCAACAGATCCTAACAGATTTAACTCTCCTACCTGTTAAATCAGATGCATCAATTCTTGCAGTCTGTATTAACACCATAACTACTTGAGGAGAGTAAACTGTTTTCTCGAACATTGTGAACTGTTTCTGTGTCATATATTTCTGATGTTTCAGCTAAATGTGAGAATTCTCTGCAGAGCGGCAACTTTTTATTGCAGAAACTTTGATGATGTTTCTTTGTCTGATGGCAGTGAACGCATGGTTTGTCTACTTCGCAGTCTTTGCTCAGATGACTTGCCTTAAGACAAATGTAACATCTTCATCTGATTTTCTGTTTTCTCTCATCAATTGTCCTGAATTCTGTGCAATCATCACTTCAATGATTTTGTTCACAGTAAATACAGATAGGATGTTTTCTTCCAAATTTGTTTCTGTTCTTTTCCAGGTGATGAAGATTTTCTAGCAGGTTGTTCTTTATGACCACCTAGGTTTTCCATATCTGTAGACTCTCTGGCTGCTATATAGTTATCAAGAAATATTCTCAGCTTTTGCACGGTCCACTTTTCTTTCTGTATTTCTAATTACAATCTGGCTTCTTTTGGTAACTTTGTTATTATCATAGAAACAAAGGCATCTTGATTTCATGTTCTAAAGCTTCTTGGCTGCGCATATGCTTTTCTAATTCATCCAATAATCTACGGAGACTGGAAGTCCGGTATTATTGAGTGCAAGCTTAATATTTATAAGGTCAATGTAATGTTTGTTGATAATTACAGACTGCAAATCTCCAAATCTTTCCTTCAGTATGGAGAGAGCTTCATCATAATTTTCATGGGAGAGCATAAGGCCGGAAATAGCAGTTTGTGCCTTTCATACCATTTTACTTTTCAAGTAGTTGAACTTCTCAGTATTGAAAAGCCTTGAGTTTTTGTGCACTGAATCTTCAAAGGAGTCCCAGAATTCCTTCCACTTTAATCTGTCATCATTGAATGAAGGTAGCTCAAACTTTGATAGTTTAACTACTGGAGTTTCTCTCTTTTTTGCAAATCCTCTCTTTTCTGTGCAATTCCTGAATTTGGAGATTTTGGAAATGCGTAAGCTGTTCCTGTATTTTTGTCTGCAGATCTATCATGTGGTCTATTCGTGGATCATCTGTTGCTTCAGTTTTCATATATGGAATGTCCGCTTTTTCCAATCTTTTTTTCAGTAGTAGAAGTTCTTCTGAGTGCTCTGTAACATCTGCGAGCAATTCAAACAACTTCTCATTATCTTCCGTAAATTTTTCAATTTCAGACTCATTGTCTTCTTTTGCTTCTAAGGCAATGGAAAGTTCTTTCGTCGATTCTTCTTGTTTGGCACCAAAGTCCTTTAACCGTCTCAAGGAAGACTGAATCTGCCTTAACTTGATTGTCATATCCTCTTCTTCGGCTTCTGAAGAAAGAAATGTCTTACTTTTAACCGTTTATTTTATCAGTAGATTCTTGTACCTTGTACAAATTCCTTTTAAGTATGAGGTTGACATCTTCTTCTTTTCGTGATAATTTATTGATTTCAGGTTTCAATTCCCGTGTTCCCGCACCAAATAATGTGGCAAATCACAATCACACGGAAATCTTCTTTAATAAATTACTATGACGATTTAAGGCAAATAACAAATCCACAAGGGTTAACAATCACAATAACCACATTGGCTAAGATAATCAGAATGTTTCTGATATGTATTCAATCTTTACTCAATCTAAACTAAATCTTTCTTCAATCTAAACTCAATTTTTCTTCAATCTAAACTCAATCTTTTTTAACATCACAAAAGCTCTCATATATAAATAGTATTAAAGAAACATCTAGAAATAGAAACTTCTGTAAAATTCTAGGTCATCACATTCTGACATATTCTACAGACTTCTTGATAATTCATTCTCGTATCATGCAGAACATTCTAGATTATACATGTACATCGATTCATCAAAATTCTAGAGAATTAAAAATTGCCACAGTTCGCAACAAATTCCATACTTTGGCAAGGGATGCATAAGGGGTCCTTGCTAAGCCTAGTCTTCTCCGTATGTCATCCTCAGTTCCTCCCGTCTTGTCCTTTGTGGCATCCAGGTAGAGAAATGTTTCAACCTTTTTTTTTCTTCATCATTTGCCCTGATCCTTCTTCTTTCCGTTTATTCTCATGATTTTTGTTTTGTCAACATTAATTTTTAGGCCTATGTATTCAGCGGCATCGTCAATCTCCTGGACTTTTCTTGCATGATGTTGTGTTTGCTGGAAATAAGTGCAGGGTCGTATGCATAATCTAGGTATTCTTAGGTAAACCTATCTTATTGTTGGTATTTCTCATTACAATGATGAAAAGGAACCCAGACATAACACAGAGAAGTTTGAAAGAAAAAAAAAAATAGAAAATTGTATCAAGAATGGCATGGGGTTATTAATCTTATCATTATTGTTTTTTTGTATAAAAAAAAAATAATAAAAAAAAAAAAAAAAAAAAAGATATGTAACGAGAAGTTCTTGGCGTTGCGACACTGTGGCTGGGCCTGAGTGGTTAGCATTTTAACTTTTTAAGTACCTTGTCGCTATACATTGCTTCTGTGGTAGGACATCATTTTTTTTATTACTAAACAGTGATTATGTAATTTATCATCTCACAAGCAAGTAGTAAAGTGGATCGTGGGACACCCCCCCCCCCCTTGTTTCCAAACATAATCTTTTATTATTGAAAATGCCCATTGAAAGTTCGATTCCCCAACCCTTGGTTCTGGTGTAGCATTGTTAAATCTTTGTAATTAAGTAATGATTTAAAATTATGCTTGTAAAAAATTTACCCCCCTCCCCGAGAGAGAGGGGGGGGGGTAAGAGTTTTAAAAAAAATTCCTTTAATTCAGGCGGATGAGTAAGTTAATTTATTTTGGCCAATTCCCCTTTCCAATAAAAAAAACAAAACTACGTATTAATTGTACCGTGTCCTAAAATTACATGTACATGGTAATAACTATTTAATCAGGTGACATCATCATCACATGAGTTTTGGAATCATATGTCATCTGTGTATTTAAATTAGGATGGGCTAGCTGTCGTTCTATTTATTGTATTCTAATTTATCTAATTTTATCCAGTAATTTAAGTCAAGTAGTGTATTGATCAGCACAACTGATTTATACACTCGTTAACTTTATTTTTCTTTTTTTTTTAAAGAAACAAGTAAATTGTCTTGTGTAATAGAACTATATACATTTAGAGAAATAATGATTATTTAGCATTAAACTACATTTATTTAATCTGATGACATCATCATATGCGTTTCGGAATCCTATGTCATCTGCGTATTTAAATTAGGATGGGCTGTCGGTGGATTTTTTTTGAAAATTTTGATTATTTATTTTTATTCAGTAAGTTTACCTAAAAAATAATTATATGTCAACAATTAATGCACTTGTTTTCAGATTCCTTTTCTTAAAAAAAAAACAACAACATTTTTGTTCATATTTATAAAATTATGTTGCCCGATATTCCCCGAAATGTTTCATGTACGACTTAATAGTTTACAAAAGTGGGGATTCCCCGCGAGAGAATTTCCAAAGAAAAAACCATGATACGATGAACTTTATTCATTTTAAGTAACTGATAACTTTTCAAGAGGTATGTTGAATATTTTCAGTGCTATTTTATGTTTTGGTAATTACCATGTCATTCAGTTTCCACCTATTAACGTGTAACGGTTTAATTTAACCATGAGAGATCGCGAATGTAGGTGTCGCATGTGAATCCTTAGGCGAGCCTCTCACCTGTTCCATATGATTAGCATTAATTTTTACCCCTCATTTTATCTTACTTGCAACAGGATATTCCAAAGATTTAATTAGAAAAGCAAAGTAGAATATGAGAAAAAAGTTTTGTGCGATATTGTTACATTTCTTAATAAGGATTTTTTGGCATTGGAGTTTGGGGGTCAGTAAGGGGTTCTTACAAATGTAAACAAAACGACCTGCTTCGTTACAGGAAGTTTCTTGGGTTTTGATTTTTGGTAAATGGGGATAACAGAACTTCTAGAATCAGATTAAGACATGGACAATGAATTCTATTTCTTATCATGAATTTTAAAGCCCTCTGGTTTAAAAGTTGGAAGGAAATTCCATGTTAATAATAAGAAAACTTCCTTAATGATTTGGTTAAATGTCACCCTTTAAATAATCAATCACTTTTAAAAGTGAAGGTAAGGTACAAATCATTAATAGGTTTTTGTCTGTGTTTTCTGTTAGCTCTAAAATGCTCTTGTTTATTCTCATTATGAAGGACTTGGCCAGATACATGAAGGTTGGTTGCCAATGTAAATTCCTATCTGATTAATCACCCCAAATCATCTGATTAAAGTATATAGGTGGATCTCACTTTCTTCTCTCTCTCTACCTTTCTCTCTTTCCTAGCAAAATGTACAAATAATAAAATCAATTCACCAAAGAATGTATGTGATATTCTAAGCGCAACAAGGTACATAATATTTCTGTCAAAAATAGGACCCTCAAATCTATAAAACATTGAAACAAATTTTAAAATAAGTAAAATTGTCAAATTATTTTCATCATGCTGGTGATATTGTGATCATAATATGCAGATGTGCTAGAAACCAAATGTGTCATATCATAAATGTTGAGAACACTAGTACATGTATGAACAAAATGTCCTTATTTGTGGAAGTTGTATACTGAGTATAATAGAAAAATAACATTTATATTGTAAACCATACTTGTGTTTTTGTCTATGAAAATAATCCATGTAATGATTTATTTAATAAATAAAGTATCAAAACCGTCAAGTACATGTAAGATAGTGTTTTTAAAAAATTATGAATTATTGAATTATAACACGTAGGAAACTGTTGGTAACAGTTTTAATTACATATGTAAAATGTAATCATACTGATAGAATTGCATATATAAATGCCACCCGAGGGCCTTGTTTGGGGAATAACCATAGGCATAAACAGGGTTCGAAATTAGCGAGAAATACTCGCGAAATGCGAGTTGATTTTCAAAACAGCGAGTAAAAATAGAAGACACTCGAAATTTTTAGCGAGTGGTGATTTTTGACCCAAATAGTCTCGTATCCATATTTTTCTGGTAATTTGTCTTACATTTTGAAATTTGAACAGAGTTACAATGCATTCGGTACACCTCCGTTGATTCTGTCACCAAATCTCAATCAGCTGATGCAATTTATACAAAAATGTTTCATTGTAGTTTTATTTGACATATAAAATATACCAACCTTGTCAAAATTTATCTTAGATAAAAAGAGTAATCATTATTAAAACAACAAATAATTTCTCCCATAACTTTTTGAAGTTCGTTTTCTGCAGCTAGACTGTGGCTAGACAGCCATGTTAGGTACCCGCTGTAAATATCACACCTGGTTAATCAAGTCCGGGATGTTTGACCCCATATTCAGTAGCAAAAAATTCAAACCTACCGACCCTTGATCATATTGATTTTCTTTTCTTTTTTTTTTTTTTGAATGTTATAGGAAATAACTATATTTTAATCAATGTTATTTATTTTTTTTAGGCCAGATTACTTTTTTAATGTACAAACATTGATGATCTTAATTCTGTACTGACCCACTATATAGAAGGCCCTGTATTTTTTTAAATTAATTCAAATGAACATGAAAAGACATTTAATCCTTATTTTAATTTTAGCTTGTAGATCTTCATTTTAGCCTGTAGATTTTATATGTACAGGCTAAAATTAGCCTGTGGTTAAAAAAGTTAATTTCGATCCCTGATAAATATGCCTGCTATTAATTGATAAATTCAACATAGTGATGACTGATGAAGCATACCAACACAACTAAGATACCACCATAAACTTGACTATAAAGTTTGAGAGTTTCTAGAAAACTTGAAAGAACAAAATAAAGTATTTATCAAATTTAATATTGATCATGCCAAGACATAAAGGCTACTGTCTTTTTTCTTTGTTGCTGATATTAAACACTTCTAAGCATATATAAACTGGACATCCAGTTTTTTTATGTTAAAAATTAAAAAAAATTAAGTATTCCATATAATATTGATGTCAGCTTATAAATCATTTGACACATTTAGTTATTTTTATTAATCGAGATGAATTTTTAAAAAAATTAAAATAATGAAGATTGCTTGTCTACCTTGGAAACCTTGACATACATCCATTTTATAATACTTTAAAAATAAAGAGGGATAGAAAAGGAAATGAAAACTTGAAGAAAATGTTTTAGCTATAAAGAATTCTATGTAATAATTCTTTTCTTACACAAAATACTTTTACATGGTCCTACTTCTGAAAAAGTAGGGGCAGTTATTGGACAGACTGCAAACTTGTATCTATTCAAAGGCATGGTTCCACTACTGAAGAACAGAGGACACTTTTATTGGACAGATTGGAATCATGTACCTATTCAGATTTTATTAAAACCAAGAGACATACATCTCATAGGTATAAATACATTATACATATAAAGTAAAACACAGTAGAACAATTCATACAAACTGAAACAACATAAAACACAGTAGAACAATTCATACAAACTGAAACAACATAAAACACAGTAGAACAATTCATACAAACTGAAACAACATAAAACACAGTAGAACAATTCATACAAACTGAAACAACATAAAACACAGTGGAATAATTCATACAAAATGAAACAACATAAAACACAGTGGAACAATTCATACAAACTGAAACAACATAAAACACAGTGGAACAATTCATACAAACTGAAACAACATAAAACACAGTAGAACAATTCATACAAACTGAAACAACATAAAACACAGTAGAACAATTCATACAAACTGAAACAACATAAAACACAGTGGAACAATTCATACAAACTGAAACGACATAAAACACAGTAGAACAATTCATACAAACTGAAATGACATAAAACACAGTAGAACAATTCATACAAACTGAAACGACATAAACAATTCATTTCTTAATCTGTTTGCAAAACATATATAATTTCCAAGATTAATACATATTTCTTCAGTATTCAAGGGCACTCTTCTACAACTGCAGAAAATGGGGACAATTTTTAATGGACAAGCTGTGAACCAGAGCAGTGTACTTACATGTATTCAAGGGCACTTTCCTGCTACTGCAGAACAATTTATATTTTACATGTGCTACACTGTGTTAGTGTGATGGAGGGAAAAAAGGGAGAAGAGTGTTGAACAACATAAAATTATGAATTATTATGCATTATTATTGAATCGGTTATAAAGGATTATATAAACCTTTGCTTGCAAAATGTTGATTAAAATCAATTTGAAATCAAGTTGTGCCTGTTTCCAGAAATTTCCTATAAATATACAAAAGTATCAGGTAATTGTCAATTATATAAATTATATATATAGGCACTTCTGTGTGTGTGGTTTTTATTTATAAACAAATCCTGTCAATCTTTAGAAACATTTAAATATAGCCTGTATTTTAACTAGAAAGAGGAAGATAATGCTTATAAAGTATGTCAACACTCAACAATACATAAATATCATCTAACCAGTATAATCAAAAAAAGTTTAATATCCTTGTTTTAATATACTTAAAATACTCAGACCATTCATAAAATATTGGAAATTTTACAATTCACAAGTTTACCGTTTTGAAGAAAAAACAAAAAACGAAAACAAGACAAATATTGTTAAATAAGACATTAAATAAAAAAAATATTTTTATGATTTAAAGAAGAGTCATAACCACATTTTTTTTACCATAATTCTTATAGATGCAGTATGAAATAAGAATAAAAAAAATAACATTTTAAAATAATCTCTTTTGATTTGTTTATAATGGTTATTTGATAAATGTCCCAAAATACTTCAAGCAATAAAACATTTTAGTTTCTAGCAAAACGTCCTTTCAAAAGGACGATGAAACTTAACGTATATAGTAATCTAGAACATGAATATTTCAGAAAATGCTGAATCAGTTTTCAGTTTCATGTTACGTTCCTGTGTTAGACTGGTACTAGGATTGACGTTCTTAGAATGGCTGCCATTTTATTAATTAGATTTTCAGAAAATGTTGTCCTGTTTTATCTTATCATGCGAACTTTGACTTACATTAATAATGTGATAAATTTTTGGGGGGCTGAAATAGTTCCCGGAACTTCCAATGCTCCCAATAGAAAGGAAAATTCAAAATTTATAGATAGAGAATAAAAGACTTTCCTGTGTGAAAATAAGGTTACATTAAAACAGAAAATAAAAGTAGTTCCGTTTCCCTATATTTTGACATTGTTTTAATTGCTCTTTTTTTTCAGACCATCAGTCCCCATTAATATGGTTGGTGATGAAGTGAACTGACAAGCGCTTTTGCGATGGAGAAACGTTACAGAGCACAAGAGTTTTATAATAAATACAGAAAAGAAGAGGAAGATCCGCGCCCAACAAAACATCTCATGTTGTCCATCTTCCAGATCATTCTGGAATATCTTACTCTTTGCAAACCAGAGGAAAAGTTCTCTTTTCACGAATTTCACAAAATTTTAAACCTAAGTTCCACCGAATGTGATTTCAGTTTAGAGAAAGCTTCCAAGGCATTCGAAAGGCTAGAATTTTATTTAGTTACAATATGGAAAAATTCATGGAAACCAGAATTTAAAAGGATGCGAGTAAGTACAGATAAAAATCTTTTAATGATGTCACAAATGCTTCGAAACAATAGTAGAGACGAATAGTGATTATGTTAAGGTGTACGGGTCTTTAATATAAAATTGGGTGAAAAACGAGATATTTATTTCGAGTATAATATATTATATTATTTTAATTTAATGTAAAATGAGATATAATATATATTTATAGATGTACGAGAACGTCTAGATTTAATATTATTTAATGTATGGGTAAGGCTATTTTGCCGTTCAGATTTTTTTACGTTTCTTCTTTTTTGGCAGGAAGAATGGACACGTTTCTTGTATAAAGAATATTAGTTGTAATACACTGATGTGAAATAATCTTAAATACTATATCTTTCAGAAATACTGCGGCTTTTATCAAACGAAAATTGAGTCCCACTTGAAGAAATCGGAAGAAGTGTTTAAATTAATTGGTTATGTAGAATCAGCAGATTGTTTAGTACTAAATCGTAGACTTAATCAAGACGTTGTTCTCTCCGTAGGATTTGAATGTATTGTAGCTTCTATCGAATGTCATCTAGTATCAAAAATAATAGGCCGACTTGACAGTCCGCTAAGGCCTTGTGATGTCTTCACTTGGAGGCAAAAATACTCCGGAGGTGAAGAAGAATTTGTTACATTATTGAACGGAAACAAAAAAGACCCAGTTTTAAAAAGTTCTTCGGGATCGGAGTACCGAAACGATACGGAGGTGGATCATAATTCAGTAACGTTCTCCCCGGGTCACCGTGATATTCCTTTTATAGACGATGATGCCGATGGACATAAGGAGTATGAACATGTAGGTCCAAACTTCGAGGAGGGAACTCTGGATGACCATTTGATGGCGAGTTTAAAGTTAGTGAGTAAAGAGAAAGTGAAAGTAGAAGAGCCGCCACCGAAGAAAGGATCCGACGAATGGTCATATGTTACAGAGAGTTTAAAAAAAAGATATGGTGAAGAGTATAATTGGGGTACACGCGGAGATATTCTGCAGCCAGAACAATTAATACCCCAGCAAACACAAGACAGTAGAAATGACAAAAATGAAGTGCAGAAGAGGATTACCCGGAAAGAGAGTTCCTCATATCGAGATTCGGGATACGTCGGAGGAAGCAGCTTTCGAAATACCAGTCATCGATCTGAACTTGTCACTCGGGCCACCGGGGGTGCCGAGTCTAAAATGTCATCACTTAGTAAGCCCACACATCCTATATCATACGCTCACGAGCAATTATCACCTCCAAATGCCACTGGAAACTTAAATGTTTGTGTTGAAGAAGAAGGGATTGGTGGCGAAAATCTTTACAACGACATTGTTGAAATGAGATACGAAAGGCTGGGTACCACCCAGCCCTTTAATTTCAGCCATTCTGCACCCGTTGCACGGAAGATTTCAACAGATACCGAAAGGTCTCCTTCCAGTAGTAGCCGCTTCGGTAGTCACAGTCTTAATGAAGGTGGATGGGTCTGTCCATATTGTACCATTCGAAATCCCAAGGGTAATCTAATTTGTTCAGTTTGCAGTAAGACTAACGATGTTAGAGACATAAAACCATCATCGAAATCGATGGATGTGAGATGGACGTCCAGACAATGTTCCAAATGTACCTACGCTAATCAGTCTGATCGGAGCGAATGTGAAATGTGTGGCAACCCAATAAACGAAGCTAATTCTGCAGTGTGACAGGTTCTACATTTGTTCGGCTTTTTTTCGAAATCAAGCTAAAGAGAATGATAAACTTACAAATAGAAAGTTGTTTTGACAAGAGCTTTTTTCAGGATTAATAAGAGCTTATCTAATAAATATTTCGCTTTTGAAAGCTCATTATATATTTTGTGAACATACACTGTAAGCAGTATGATTTTTTTTTCGAGAAATTTCCAAATTGGTATTTTTACATAATATTGGATAACTATGATTTCCAGAAAAATAAAAGGTGAATAAAATATAGACAAAATAAAATCACAAAACATTTACATATCCGGTTGTATATTTTTACAAAATTATTGTAACTGTGCTATTATAAGTACTTTATACACAGTTACATACTCTGAATAACGTTTAAACAGTTGTGAAAGGGATATGGAAAGTGATTTAGATCTTTAGCCAAATTTCTCATGATGAACTTAAAATGCAAAAAGAGAAAATTAATTATGTACAATTCAGAGTAACATGAAAGATGTATGAACTTAAGCAAAGCATAGTTTACAGAAATTAATTCTACAAGAGAAGAAAAGTAAACAGGTATTGTTTTACACACAAAAAGTTTCAACATTTCTGTAGAAATATTGTGGGATTATTCCTGTCATTCGTTACGTCTTTCAGTTCTTTGCTTTACCAAAATATTCCCCCGATACCTCTACGTACATGAATTGACAACAACATTAATTTTAACATGCATAATAAATAGAAGTCAATGAAATCTTTAACATTCAAGACTCTAAATATTAGGAACCATACCACTCTGACTGTCTTGTGCATATGGAAATGTACACGTATGTCTTTTTATTTGATGAGCGAACCATGTTGTGTTGCAGTAAACTTTTATTCTTTGTGTTTATTAGCTCACCTGAGCCGAAGGCTCAAGTGAGCTTTTCTGATCACATTTTGTCCATCGTCCGTCCGTCCGTCCGTCTGTCTGTCTGTCCGTCCGTCCGTCTGTCTGTAAACTTTTCACATTTTCAACTTCTTCTCAAGAACCACTGGGCCAATTTTGACCAAACTTGGTACAAAGCATCCTTGGGTGAAGGGGAATTTAAATTGTTAAAATGAAGGGACATATCCCCTCGCAAGGGGAGATAATCAAGAAAAGAGAAAAATAGGGTTGGGTCATTAAAAAATCTTCTTCTCAAGAACCACTGGGCCAGTAAAGCTGAAACTTATGTGGAAGCATCCTGGGGTAGTGTAGATTCTAAATTGTTCAAATCATGATCCCCGGGGGAAGGGCGGGGCCACAATGGGGAATCAAAGTTTTACATAGAAATATATAGGAAAAATCTTTAAAAATCTTCTTCTCAAGAACCACTGGGCCAGAGAAGCTGAAACTTATGTGGAAGCATCCTGGTATAGTGTAGATTCTAAATTGTTCACATCATGACCCCCGGGAGAAGGGCGGGCCACAATGGGGAATCCAAGTTTTACATAGAAATATATAGGAAAAATCTTTGAAAATCTTCTTCTCAAGAACCACTGGGCAAGAAAAGCTGAAACTTATGTGGAAGCATCCTGGTATAATGTAAATTCTAAATTGTTCAAATAATGACCCCCGGGGGAAGGGCGAGGCCACAATGGGGAATCAAAGTTTTACATAGAAATATATAGGAAAAATCTTTGAAAATCTTCTTCTCAAGAACCACTGGGCCAGAAAAAGTGAAGCTTATGTGGAAGCATTCTGGGGTAGTGTAAATTCTAAATTGTAGGAATCATGATCCCCGGGGGAAGGGCGGGGCCATTATAGGGGAATCAAAGTTTTACATAGAAATATATAGGAAAAATCTTTGAAAATCTTCTTCTCAGGAACCACTGGGCCAAAAAAGCTGAAACATATGTGCCCATGGAAGGATCATGGGGTAGTGTAGATTTCAAAATGTCTAAATATGATCAGTGGGGTAGGGTGGGGATGCATTATGTATAACAAGGGGGAAATCTGGTAAAGAACAGAATGGTCAAAGCTTCTCAGGTGAGCGATGTGGCCCATGGGCCTCTTGTTTTTTAATCTTGAGTTTCCTTATGACCTCAACATCACTTTTCCTCATTGGCATTTACTTTTATTGTAATCAAGAAACGTTATAAAAGACTTTCTTTAAAAGAAATATTCATATCCTTATGAAAACTTATGAACGCAACTCAACAGTGCCATATCTGATTTTTTGGATTTGACTTTTCCTGTTACCTTGAAACGTTCTTTTGAAGATATTTTTATCGATTTTTATACATATGGCAAAACCTAATGATTCAACTATTTTAATGTTCTGTCATCTACCTATCTCATTACACTGACATTCATAAAAACTTAAAACTTATGTATTTCATGAAATGTATGGAGATACCGAACAGTATTCAAGCTCAAAAGTCCATTAAACAATACAAATTTTTAACAGAGCAAACAAAGGTCTCCAAAAATTTATTTTAACTCAAAGTTAAATTTTAATATTTGCTGAGAAGGTCATTGTATAGACCATACGTCACCAAAGATTACAAGAAATGACGACTTTAAACGAGACTGCTGATAATCTTGTTTCATCAACTTGTTTGTCAATAACTTGCCTCGTTTTAGAAATTGTTCATATAGTGCACGTGTACATATAGCATGATCTTGCGTATCGAATCAACCGAGAAATATAAACCCCATTTGCAGGTGATGATTATGAAGGCACAATGTATGTTGCTGCATAAACAAGGGAATTTGATGACTGAAAAGTTAAAGTAATCAAGTTATAAGAAAGCTTTGTTGTTAAATCACCATAAAATATCTGAATATGAAAGTGATGAAGCAGACTCTGTGATATCTTTTATTTAAGCTTTATACTGGGATACACGTATATCCTTTCGGCATAAGAATGGAAATGACCATTACCAAATGCAGCCGTAAACGATATCAAAAAGCCCGGACTCAAATCTACCGTGGGGAATGGTTCTATATGAAGGTGAGAAGTCTTCAGTTTATAAATTTTGTAATTTCAAACTTTCTAAAAGTTCTTTGGAATTTTTAAGCATCCACATCTGATTTACACCTGCAGTTTTAGAGCAAGTTCTTGCTCTCCCTCCATTACTGTCAATACGAATTATACTCCAGTGAAAAGCAAAGGGAGAAGCCCAGCAGAACATTTCCTGGAACTCTATATATAAATTATGTGTTTTTGTAAGGACCTTTATGAAGTTTCCGAATCCAATATAGATAAGGTATAATTTCAAATTCATTTTCAAATTGGTATTAAAATTAGATTTCTGATCTGCTCCAACTATAGATTGCTACAGAAAGATTTTGTGTAGCGATCTAGTCGGAGAGACGGACCCAGGATCTAATATTAATTAATTTGTTATGGTTGCTGGGAATATTAAAAATATTAAAAACTGATACATCGCCTTGAAGAATTTTATTCCTCAGGTTTTAGTATAAAGAAACTGTGGACTAGTTTAACAGAAAAAACATCTTATGCACATGTGAAAGACCTTTTTAAACTTATATTTAAAAAAAAAACTGTGACCTTGAACCAGTTTTAAATAAAAAATTTGACAAACTTAACCTTTGGTCATACATCGGTTGGACTAATAGAGAGAGGATTTTCAAATTTCACTGTACGTTACCTAAAACAAGACTTTCCCAAAATACCATGTTTTTTTTATCTTGTGACCTTGAAGTCTGTCGTACTTTTTGAAATTCTACCTTTGGTCATACCTTTTGAATGAGAAAAGATGGGGTTTTCATATTTACAAGTGCATTACCTGTGACGAGACATTTCCAATCATGCTTTGATTTTGACCTCATGGCATGTACCTTTAAATCTGACCTAATTAAAAATATATTTTTTGATTGAGAGAATACAGGGCATTTACATTTGATGTGTGCATTATCTGATTCAAGGCCTTTTCGAATGCATACATGTACCCTGGTTTTTGACCTCACAACCTTGAATATAAACCTACACAGTCTTTTCAAATTAATTTTACATTGATAGTAACTTTTAAATGAGAGACGACAAGGCACGGCATTAAGGTGCACAATTCAATATGCCAGAATAACAATTAAGGCAACCACAGGAGTTCGCGAGGCAACGAAATCGGTGGATCACTTTTCTTTGAATTTGCTTGTTACTTATTGGCTGAAATAGCTTTTGATACTCATTCGTTGAACTTTATTCAATTGGCTTTCCTTTTTGGATTTGGCATTTATTACAATCTGATTAAAATCAGACTGGTATTTAGTAAAACATTAATTATAAGCTATATAGAAGCAATATTATTATTATAGAATGAACATATATTCTAATTTAATATTTTGCAGCAAAAACATAGGAGTGACATTCTCTCACAACTGGAAATCTAAGAGTACATGTAAATCCACTCATTAAAGAATTATTTACAGATATCAAGAAAATGGTGAGAAAAAGGGAAACAAAACATTTACCAAGAGGCATTTTAAAAAAAAAATTTGATGGAATTCCTTCTATTCAAATAGCATAGTGTCGTATATGTCGGAAATAAGCATTGATTTGATCGAAAACTAACTCTTATTTTAAGTTAATGCGTTAAGTCGTATACGAGGGTTGATCCAAAAGTTCGTGGAATTTCTTTCTAAAATTTTATCGTGATTTGATGAAAGCAAACAAAAGGCATATTTATAATAAAGAGTCATAATGCAACAATATTGGAAAATTTCACCACTTTCCAATTACCAATAAGGTCACACAAGCTTTCTGAAAATGGATAGTTGTGAAACCCGGGGGAGACTTCGACGTAACGTCAAGTTAGATATGTCACGTCACGTTATAGAAGCATCTCACCCTAATGTCCAGTTCGAACACTTAATTCTACAAAGTGCTGCCTTTTTCTCCATTTTTTCTCAAGAAAAGCCTGGGTATCCACCAACTTATATTCTTTTTTCACTCATATTTCAAAAAAACTACCCATCTTTCTATATGATGTTCCAATTTCAGTAGCAATGTCAAGAAGAGTACGTCAGCCGACAACGTCTATTAACGCTTTTAAGTTGTCAATGGGAATAGGCACTTAAAACAGAGCCTCCAATGAGCGACCACAACTTTGATCAACATCCATGGAAGTTCTATTTTTTTCTTAAAACTCTTCTGCCACTGGAAAAACAGTAACTAAATGCATTTTCCCAAGCCTATATCAATAATATATGCGTTTAATATATAGTGATCCCGGGATTTTCACAAAACGTATGACTCGGCCGAAATTTGACAATGTCTAACAACTGAAGAATAACAATAAATCATCAACTAATAAACTAAATATCCAGTAAAATCGGTAAAACTCTCATCGAAAGGTTTATAAAAGATCAAACAATCGTAATAATGAAATAATTTTTATTTTATATACCTATAGGGCTGTTTAATTCTCATTTCACGTATTAAGAATTAAAATGATAATTAACGCGTTAATGTCTCCCCCGCATTTCCAAACAACCGTTTCTATGGCAACTGCCATAGAGTTACTATCAAAGATATTTAAAGTATTTTTGAATTTTAAATATTCATCAAGTGTCTATATTTTCATTTGTAAATCTCAACTAATTCCACTAATAAATAAATAAAATATGAAGAAATTCCACGAACTTTTGGATCAACCCTCGTATGTAAACTCTTATTAGCTAACAAAAGTTTTGAAAATTGAAATTTATTTTTAAAAAAAAGCTAATTCAGAGAATTCGCGAATCAAGACTGGAAGGGGACACTTTAAGTGGGGCGGATGGGGGCAATAGGGAGTTATGCTATAAAATTTTATTGCAAAAGTTCATAAGCTAGTTTCATGTACATGTGGCATCAACCGCAATCGGAAAGAAAGTTTTACACAGAATAAATGTGTTTGCAA